ATATATATATATATATATATATATATATATATATATATATATATATATATATATATATATGATTGATAACTACTAATCTTTCTGTAGGTTCGATCCTCATAAACCAGTTATTGGAGGTATTGCTATTTGCATTTGTAGTAAATTTGAGCTAGCTAAACCTTCTTGGGAGAAGTTTCCATAATCCATTCGCGATATGTGATTTGAGGAATTCAAGGTAAGGAAAATTATAATCTGGTTCATATTCAAATATTGTTGGTGTGATATTGTACGACTAATGCAATTTTAATTTGATACGTGCGGAAGAAATTCAAATGGCTCCCTCACTATAATCAAGCTATACGGGACAATTTTGAGAAAAGAGCAGTTGCAAGAATGACCCAACTTTTTCAAGATATTAGAAAAAACTTGCCTGGGAAACCAAATTGGATGGGGGATGATGTATTCAAAGAGATGGAGTATTGGGAGTCTCCTGAATTTAAGTCAAAGTCCGAACAAAACAAAATGAATCGTGATTCAAATGACGGCGCCTCAGTTCATACAGGTGGTTGTATACCTCATCGAGTGATTTGGAAGAGAATGGTAATATATAGATCTTTTTAAATTATTTCTTCAAGAAAATAATATCATATTCTGTGTTGGTAACATAGTATTTTCATTTATTTTCAGAAGGAAGCTTCTGGAAAAGATCCTTCAGTTGCGGAATTTTATTTTGAGACTCATCGGACAAAAAAAAAATGTTGGGTAAATGAGAAAGCTGAAACTGCTTATGTAAGTGTTCCTTCTATTACTTTTTTCCGAACCATATAGTATGAGCAGATATGTCAAGGCTTTAAAAATGAACTGCCTTAGAGCCATTATGAAAGTAGATAGTAAGTCTAAAGTCTGTTATATCTTACAGCAGAGTTCGATCGTTGGGGTGTGTTTTAGTGTTGGACTAAAGGGGTGGGTCAGGTGGTAAGGCTGATCATTGGGACCAATCTATACATATTAGTAACAAAAAGTGAAGTAGGCTCTCATCAAAGAGAATACCTTCATTTTCTAACTACATTTTCTTCAGATTTCATCTTCTACCTTTCTTTGGACCTTTAATCAGAGGGTACCCGTTAAGATAGTCAGAGTCTCACAGATCAGTGTACACTTTAAGTTCTCATCAATACAATATTAGTTTCCAATACTCAAAAAAGAAATTTGATACAACATCATACCCACCAAATGAACTGACTTACAATATGGGTAGTATTTGTTTTCTTTTTGTTTTTGATTTAGTCTAAACATCTCAATTAGTTTAGAAATTTCTTGTAATGAGTAATAATAGGCATCTTTATTGTTCAATATTGGTCACTCTCCTTGTCTGCTATTATTTCTATTTCATTGTTGCAATATTCAGTTATTTGATCATCATTCATATTAGATGTAAAAGTTCTTCTTTGAATGAGATTGTGGATTTGTTACAACCTTCATAAAGTCACATTCTTTGCCAAGATTCAGCTTCTGTTCTTGACTCCTTATATTTGAGCAGTTGGTTCACCATTTTTGGGCTTGTGTTATATATTTTTTCTCTTGAGAACAATAGTTAATTCTTGTCCTTATTAATTTTTTCTCTTGAGAACGATGTTCTATTGGCACTATATAATATCTCAAATAACTTATTTTGGTGCAGAAAAATTTTGAAAAAAAGAAACAAGAACTGTCAGCTTCTCAAAGTGCATCAACTGAGGTAGGAGACACTAATTCAGCAAGCCAATTAAGTGAAATGGATATTTGGGTGCAATCTGTTGGTGGAAAGAAAAAAGGAAGGGTTGCAGGACTTGGTTCTTTGGGTCGATCTGTTAAAGTATTTAAGCATTCAACATCTACTTTACAAGGAGAAATTGATGAGCTAATTAAATCTCAGGTGCATGCTTCCAATGCACACTTATATGCTCAGTTGCAAGAAGAGCGGCGCAACAATAAAAAGATGAGGAAAGAATTAGACTTATTGAAGAAGTATGTGAATTTCAATGCATCATCTTCAGATGAGTTATCATCTCAAGAAGACAATCAAGGATCTGAGAACGAAAGTGACGATGACTCTGATAATGTGAATGAAAGTGGTTCTCACCCTGGTAACGCGAATGAAAGTGACTATAATCATGATTGAGTTGTTCATTAGACTATTAAGTTTCATATTTGAGATATTTTGGTTTTTGTTTAAGGATTATATGATATTACATTAACGTTATGAATTATGTTTTCCTTTTGTTATAATTATATTAGATGTGTGTTGAATGATTATGATTGTGATAATATAGTTGAATTGTAAGAATATAAGCTAGAATAAATTAAAAACATCTTGAAAATGCATAGATTACTTGCAAATTTTAATGGGAAAATATTTTCGAACGCGTCAATTTTATATGGTAATTTTTTTATAAAAAACAATTACATAGGGATTTTCTTACCAATATTACATATGAATTTTCCTACGAAAATATCACTTATGGATTTTCTTGGGGATTTCAAATATTTCTTTTGTTTCATTGGAAATCTTACATGGTGATTTACCTACGAATTATTATTTGGGAACTTTGCTGGGGTTTTACATGCAACATTTTCATGTGAATTTTCTTGCGAAAATGTGTTCCTGCGGATTTTACTTAAGGATTTTCATGGGGAATTACATGCGGATTTCTTCCTACAAAAATTCCCAAGAAAAATCCCTTGTTTACGAATTTTTACCAAAATATTATTGCGAATTTTTTGAGATGTTTCGCTGATAAATCCGCAAGTAAGTTACATGGCGATACAAAATCCCCAGGTAATTTACCTGGGGATATTTTAATTCCCAGGTAATAATTACCTACGGAGGTTTTTCCAACGGATTTATTTTGGTAGGAAATTCCGCAGAAAATCAAAGTACCTGCGGATTTTCGTATCTTATCCCTTGGAAAATCCCCATGTAATCAGCAATTTTCTTGT